ATAAATGATTTTCTTTGTAAGAACTCAAGATAGAACAGCATTGAAAACTTTGCTTTCTTAATACTGCGAGACACCACCCCAGCTGACATTAGGTCATTGACTTTCCAGTTGAATGAAAGACCGGTACGTATAATTTTTGTTACACAAGGCAAACCAAACGTGTCATCTAATCAGGAAGGAGGGTGAAACTGCAGTCTAAGACAACAAACAGCATCTCTGTAAGATGCACTGCAGCCTGCTCTCCTCTCCCAACAACCAAATGTTTATTGCCTTTTCCATGCAATAAAAACTGACTTGTGATGCTTATTTTACTAGTGTTACAAAAGTTTAAAAAAAAAAGAAAAAAGAGGCAATTTCTAATGTATGCTGTGACCAACATGACGTAATGCAATGCATTACAGCCGGCCCAAACAACTTATTGGTAACGAGCCGTATTTATCATGACTGCAGGCTTTAGTACTTCAGCTCTGAGCCTCCAACTCCGAGGCTGTTTTCTAGTGGGTTTGATTGCCGCATACTGAAAGGAAAACATAACGCAATCAAAAAAACAAAAAACAAACAAAAAACCCCCACATAACACCCAAGCTTCAAAAAAGGACCTTGGAGTGAAACTATGTTTCAGTGAGAGGAACGTGAAAAAGACTACTTAGAGAAAAGGTTAGTATAGAAAATTAACTGCACTTTTTTCATAAAAATGCACCAATGTAGGATTAAGGAGCTGCTGCTGCACACAGAGGGAGATGAATCGGGTTATAAGGGCTTAACTGTAATGTAGGATACAACTATTGAGCAGACAATAAATATAGCAAGCATCACTTCCGGCATGTGGTATGCTTAAGTATTGCATGATTTTTGACTTTTATTATATTGCAGTACCTACGGTATTCCAATTATTGCACACCATGCTACAAAAAAAGGTTTATGACAAAAGTCACTTAAAAACATATGGCACTAATACCGCAACTAATAAAACAGCTGGAACAAACAGCTAATGTCATGGGTCCGGATACAGCGATAAATAACAAAACACTTGGCAAATGCAGTCACGTTAAGCTGCAGCACCTAAACTAATCTTGAAACAACTCATTTCCCCTTCTTCCTTTAAGAATACTTCACACCTTCTGCCAACACAGATGCTTCTTATCATCAAAATAAAGTCGGTAAACACTCTACACTAAGAAAGTGTCACACAACACTGTTTACATGTTCAAAACTGTTAATCCCCCCCTCAATTGTACTTGGAGGACTTTTATCGAGAAAGAGAGCACAGCTGAGTGTGAGCTACTCACTAGACTTACGTCCCTCAAAGGGCAGACACACGCACAAAGGGTGTGTGTGTCTGCACAGAAATGGAAATCAAAGGCACAGTGAGAACTGCGAGAGCATGGAAATAAACAATGATCCTTTTGGCAGTATAATTTCCGCCACTATTAGCCAGCCTTTTCTCAACCCGAGTGAATTTTTTTAATTTGCATGAATGTACCCAATATGCATAAAAAATGAAATATATTTATATATAATGCACCATGAAACAAAAACAGAAATGAGGTCTGCCACTCGTAAATCTAATATACACAAAGAAGATAAACAGGAGTTTTGCATACTTTTGGTTGTTATTTTAAAGCAATAATTTGACATTTTAGGAGGAAAAAAACAAAAAACAAACATTTTTTGACCAGAGGAGATTAAATGTTTTTTTCATTTACTATGAACAGAGCACCAGCCAGTTAGCAGAGCACAATGGCTGGACACAGGAGAAAAGAGGAAGCCTGGCTCTATCCAAAGATTACAAAACATGACTGCCAGCACTTCAGCTTGCTAATTACCTCATTAAATCTCTTGTTTAATGCTAAGTCTAAATACAACAGTTGGTGGTCTTACAGTGATAGGTTGGCCTATTTGGGAGCTTTGATGGCCAATGACTTCCTGTTGTTTCGACTCATTGTTTCAACATGATTTTTTAGCAATTACGGAAACATGATATGCCATGATGAACTTCAGAGGTGCTGGTTGATTGCTTTAGTTACCCGTGCACAGATCCAGCTTACCTGATTTCCCTTATTAGGTCACACTCTGCAAGCCTGTTTCCCAAAATGCCAAATTGTTCCTTTAAACCTTTGAGTAATCTGTCAGTATATCGTATTCTTCTCATTTGCTGAGCTTTTGTTCTCACTGTGAATCGACCAGGTACTCCAGGATGTAAAAGGAACAGTCACCAGCACATCTTGAACTCATATCCATACTTAATAACAGTGACGACTTGAACGGGGCACTTTGGCACTTGTCATTACCTACTATATCACCGGAGGATATAGCAACTAGCTAATGGAGATTGTATCTGAGATTATATTATTTGGAAACTGTCAAAGTCTGTGTCAAAGTCAGACATACTTGATGTTCTTGATGTGTCCAAAACAACCTATAAAAGTCTGAAAGTTCTCATCATCAAAAGCACACAGAAAACATATGTTTTAGTAAGACAATACATCTAGTAAAGAACTCCCAAGAACTCCATTTACATTCAGTGTGATCCTAAACCTTGAAATGAAAATGTCTGAGATTAAAAAAAAAAAAACAAGAAGAAGAAGAAGAAGAAAACAAAGAAAACAGGAATGGAGAGCAGATATTATCTGTGATCTCTGTAGTAACATCACACAGATTGTAACAATATTGTTAAGATGCCCTGAAATGCTCATCATTCTGCTCTGTTTTGATTAGCATATTTATCTTCTTTACATGTATCAGTTTCTTATCACACCTATTGTACACAGCTTGATGCTCACGCATGTACACTACCCACTCTGACTAACCCAGGCTTCCACTGAAGAGGCTACATATAGTGAACCACAACACCAAAATGAACCTTTACCCAGTTAATTTGCTTTCTCCGCCGGGTTTCCTTTTTTGTTCTTTAATGCTGTGGTTGCACTTTAAATAAGAAGATACCGAGTTTTTTAAAAAACCCCAAAACAAAGTTCAATTTTCAGTTTTGTTGCAGAGAGCGGAAAAGCCTGAATTTGTGGGAGTAGGTCACATATGTGCGAGAGAAATATAAAATGGATTTTAATATGCTGAACTGTATGTTGTGCTTCCTGTACTCCAACATAAACATATATCATAAACCTTTGAATAGAGCTTCTTTAACATTTACAAGTTATACATTTACCAAATTGGTTTGCTTCTTTTGCTTCCACCAGCTTTGATATTTCAGCAAATGCAAAGGGAGACAACAAGAAGTAAAAGGAAGTTAAGTCATCTTTAACAGAAAAAAATGAAAATAAATAAAATAAGAAACAAGACACAAGTCCTCAAAAACGTTTGTCATAACCAACAATGAACGGAATTTTTCATTTTCTTATTTTCTCTTTTTTACAATACATGTTTGTTTTTTTTAAAAACCCCGCTGGTTAAGGTTATGGTCTCAGGTAGATCTTCCACAGTCAATCTTCACAGTTTGTGTAAAAGCAGAGAAACATTCTCGCTAGAGTAATAAAATATCATGACTATTATTATGGTCATTATTATCTTTTATTCTCATATTGTTCCATAGAAATGGTGGAGGATAGGGGTGAGGCGTGTCACCCTAATGAAGCGCCTGCAGTCCCAAAGTTCCTGCTCTCCTCCCTGTACAACGCAATGTTTTATTCAGCAGTTGTTCTTTTGTTTTGTTAAAAAAAAATCTTGCCCGCAGGGGAGGAGAACTGTGGGAATGGAGAGTGGGGTAGTCATTCGGTGAAGTGTCTTTATCCTCCTCTATGATCTTAAACTGTTTTCCTGCACAAGACAACCCCCCCCCCCAAAAAAAACCCTCCCCCCCACAAAAACAGAACAAACAAGGAAATAACAAAAAAGGATCCAGAGCCTCACTTTGACCGTTGCCACTCTTTTTTCTTTTTCGTAATCCAAATTGTTTCCAAACCTGTGCTCAGGGTCTGCCAGCACTGCCTGGTTGGCTGCCCTCACATGAAACTGTGCATAGGCATAGGCTTAAGTGCATGCACACACAAAAACGCGCGCTGATACTCGCGGGCGACTGCTCCGTCGGGAGTAAAATCCGGACGCGGCACAACCCCCTCTCTCGATCTTGAACGCGCCTTGCCCTCCCATCAGCACTTGTGGGGCAAAAGAAACATGTAGAAAATAGCCCATCAGAGGAAACATGAACAGAGACTTGTTTGATGTCGATTAACACCCAGGCTCACGATTCGGTTTGTAATCTGAAGGCACTTTGTTTCATGGCAGAAAGTAAAGTGGCTTCTGTTCCACAGGCAGACCGCTGACTGAATATTCGAGTGGGGCCTCGCTAATCGGACCTTCCTCTACTCCCTGCCTGTTTTTCCTCTCCCTCCTCTGCTTTGTCTCCTTCTCACTTTTAAGCTCGAACATCTCTCTGCCTTCCAGTCCACCTGTCTACACCTCTGCTGAGCCTTCTGCTCTTATTGTTCTGCCACCATACCGTCAGTTGGCCACTTGGACTCGTGAGCACAGTGTTAAAAGATACGTAGGCAGCTACAGGGGAGTAAGCAGACAGAACTAAATGTTGTCGGAGTCCTTGTTTTTCTACAGTACAGCACCGAGCAGATAAAGAAATGCCAAAGAATGACACGAGGCTGGGCTAAAGTGAAAAACAAGTGTCGGGGATTGGCATCTGGTGCAAGAAAATGGAGATAAAGATACACAGAGAAAGGTCTGATTGAATGTATTGATAAGCAGGGAAATGTTACTTCATATTCAAAAAGTCAGCAGTGTCTGTATTTCCTTCCGTCGTCGAAGGAAGCTTTCCGGCGCCTCATGAAATGGTTCTTGTGCTTTACAAACTACCCTCCCACGATGCTTGTGATCTCCTCCGCCGGTCCGGGCTCATTCGTCGCCGACCTGCCTTTGTGCTCGTAAAGTCGTCCAGAGTTCTGCGTCAGCGGGTGTTTTTCTGTAAAAGAGGTCTCTTTAAAAAAAATGTAGCGCATCTTCTTTATTTACTTTTTGTGTAACTTTTTAATCACTTATTTTTTCTCTCTCGCTCATTTAATAACTGCGGCCTTTCTGTGGTCTGCAGTCCATGGGGGGACCCCGCTGCTTTCAGGATGCATGAATCTTTGGTGATTGGATGTTGAGGGTACAGCTCACAGACGGCGGCTCTGAATATTCGCCTCTGAGATGATGGAGAAATGGGTCACCTTTGACCTTCCAGGAGGGTCAGCACCAAGGTGACACATAGCAGCCATATATGGCAGGATGTGGACAGAGCCTTGGCGCTGAGATCTAAATGGGGGGGGAAAGAAATAAGCAAACATTTCAATACAAACATGGGAAGATAAGTGGTGAAGGGAATACTGATTTTATTACTCATACTATTTAATATGGCTTTATCCATCTGTAGCATGCTGATTCACTTCAGAAATATGTTGAGTGTGTTGAATACTAAAGCTTTTCCATTTAGCCAAATACAAGACTATGCATACAGAAATATTACTAACTCAGCAGTCATGAAAGAGCTATAACATCGTGATTATCCCTGTGGCTTTCACTATCTTTTAATGAGCTTTTAACTAGTAAATAATGGGCTGTTACCAGCAAAGAGCTCTGCTGCTTAAAGCTAATGAGTTGCTCGGTAACCACAACAATTGGTCAGTTCAGCTTAAAGATCTGAAGATTCGGTGTGCAGACGTAAAAGTCAAATTAATGCTCTCATCTAACATCTGTGCATGAGGCTGCAGTGCTCAGCATTGTGTTTGTGCGATGTTTTTGTTCTGTTTCTGTTCTGGGCTTTAGGTTAAATGGTGATTTTAAATTCACTACATACAGCTGAGTTCAGAAGTTTAAATACACTCACCATGGGGATGAATGTCATGGTAATTATGGGCTTTTAATGATTTCTTTAAAATGATTAGACAGCATACATCTTTACTGAAAAACAAGAACTGGATGCACAAGTTTTTGATGATTTTGAATTTTCTCTAATCTACACAGGGTCCAAATTATATATACAGGCTCCAACACATACGTAGACCACCACTTTGGACTAGCAAGTTGCACTTTGACGAGACACTTCATTAGACATCAACAAGCTTCCGGCGTGATTCTGGTTGGATATCTGAGCGTTCTTCTTGGTGGGATTTGCAAGATCCTTTTAAATTGAGCATTGGTGGTTCCTGGGTTGTTCGTTAACATCCTAACCAATTTCCTATCATCTCAGAATCACACTTTGGGTCTTGTACTTATGTATAATTGTTCAAACTGATTATGCGCAGTTGTTAGGAAAGGGCCCATTAAGCTTCTGAAATAGCCTTTCCAAAACCCCGACCTCAACACTAGTCAAAATTTGAGGACTATGCTTAAAAGCGAGGTCTGTGCCCACAAACCAACTAATTTAAATGAACTCTACTAATTATGCTAAAATAGGTGGTCAAATATCCAAGCAGAATTATACCAGAAGCTTGTTGATGGCTTCTAAAAGTGTTTGGTCGAGGTGCAACGTGGCAAGGGACAAGAAGCCCCAAATTAAAAGCCCCAAATTAAAATTACATTCATATGTATGTAAACTCCTAACCACAAATGAAGATGACTGTGAGGGATTCAGTACTATCACAGGTGTATCCCATGTCTTTCCTAAAGTAAGCTGGGTGGCTCCAGAACACCCTGCCCACAATAGCTGGATAAATGGTAAAGATGGATCTCCTGCTGTGCAAGAAAGCAAATATACGTTTTCTCCCATATGTTTGCTACTAACTTCTTTGAACAAATCCTAAAACAGACACAATGAAGCATTTTTCTTTCTGAGCTGGAAAATCAGTCAGAAGTCATCTCTCATCATTCCTCACGACATCTTGCTCAGTTTTCCCCTCTCACATCACGCTGAATCATGTAAGATTCATTGCGTGAGATTGAATTGCATAATTCATAACATTACTCTGTCCTCAGCCCGGGCGACTACTCCTTTACTTCCAAAATGAATTAATGCTGTCGCTTTGAATCATAATGCACCCAAATGAAAAATAACCTATACAATAACAAACTCGCAGCAACAAAAACAATGCATCTTGCGGACCAAGATCACTGTCTCTGATTGCCGTTAGATGGGCAGTTATTTTCCACCACGGACGTGAAAAATGAAAGCAGATTATCTTGATTCATTTATGGCATGTTAAAGAGATGTCTAAGTCTGAGCGGCTTTTGGAAATAATACCTGCAGAATAAATAACGGGAATTAAATCAAGGAAACTGTATTTGTCTGCCAACCAATAATGCCCTGTCAATTGCAGGCCATTTTCCGTGTCCTGTTTTCTGTTTTTTACCTTCTGTTTGTTCCAGCAGCGCAATTACAGTACTCCACTCAGCCAGCGCGGCTATCATTCATGTGATTACACACCCTGTTGCCATGGCAACCATGCTTTCCCCATGAGATGGTCGTTTTATGCTGCCAGCTGTCTAAGATTAGATCCTCTCTCATAAATCTGAACCTTGTCCGGTGAGGTAGAGAGAGAGTACCTGGGATTTAGATAAGAGGGACAGAGGAGAGGATGGAGGAGGCGGATGCGTGGTGCTACTCACTGGGCGGCGGGTCTCGACACTCCCCTTCCTCCAGCGTGATATCATCAATAGCAATGTCTCCTTCAATGCCTGGTCCCCGAATCCCTTGAAGTACGACCTACAGAGAGTAGCACAAGTCATTATATTGAATCTTGAGAGACCAAAAAACCAACAAAAGTAAAGAACAGGAAAAAAAGGGAAATTTGAACTGCAGTAAGATAAAGACTGAGTCAATGCACAGTGCAATTTAGCTAAATTACACCTGGGAAAAAAAACCTTAAAAAACACAACAGCAGGTGGCAAGTATTTGCTTATAATGTCACAAAATTTAAAACCAAGACTGTTGGAAGCTGCAACTAAAGTTACCTATTTTACAACTAAAGCTGTAAAAATGATGGAAGTTCTGCAGCTTTCCATCATCCACTCACAAAGTTCACGCTTCCTGATGGAAATGAGTGTCATACCAGACATTTTGTGGGAATGCCGGCTACTTCTCACAGCTACATCAGTGTTTAGCCCCCAGGGAAACCAATACCACACAAACACAGGCAAAGAAGAAAATAGAGGGCACCGAGGGAAATGCTACTGCATATTGAATGAAAGTTTTTTAGGCTCACCTGGAAAGACGATGTTGGGTGGATGCTTACTTTGGCCTGCTTCCAGCGGTCACCTTGATTGCCACTTAGCGACCACACGAGGCCTTCTGAAGCCGTTTGACCCTTTTGCTTTAGGAATGCATTTAGCGTTCCTGCATTGAGGAGAGAGACAGTTGGACTGTTGCCAAAACATTTTCTAATGGCTCAAAAGAAAGTATTCATATCTTGGAATTATGGCTTAATAATCATTATATGTTTTCATTTTATAGTGCTAACTCCTTTTGTCCTACATTTAAACTACTTCCTCTATATTATGCCCCAAATGACAACTCACTATTATTTAATTTAAGTAGGTCATTAGAAATTAAGGTAACTGGTCGATTGTAGCCACCTCTCAGCAGTACATGAAATCCATGTGAGGGGACAATTAGGGTGTGCAAGTGGAGAGTGAATCCCATATGTTTATGTTGGAGTAACAAATATATGTATGCTTTTGCAGAGACATTCGATAGGGTGTACGTTCTGCAAAGTTTAAAATTTAAGGAGCAGCAGGCAGAAAAGAAATGGAAAAAAATAGAAAAATAGCAGAATTCCAAAAATAGAGAGCCGTCTTCCAAGAGCTGCCCTTCTTTAAGCCACAGTTACAGGTAAGTACATCTGCTTTAAATACCTTTTCAACTTTATATTGACTATTGAATTCTTCATTTTCACCAGGTGACAGTCCTTTGTTGGACATATTACCACACTTGGTTTTACCGTGTTATGCAGCCTTTTTTAAACCCAATATCACAGCAAAGCGTTGAATGGACACGGTGGACCGGCATTTCTATTACACGTTTTGCCAGGATACTGGGTTGCTTTTTTTCTGCTCCTTACAGTGCTTTATAGTTCTAAAGTGATCTGATATGAAAAGATCCGTTACAAGGCAAAGACTGCTGTCACAGGCTTGATTTTGTAAAGTCTGACATGCTGTCAGGGGTTCAAGAGTATAGTTCCTTGTAAGATCATTTGAATTACAATATGCTGAAATAGGAACATTTGTCAGCACCAACCACTGTTGTACTTCATGTACAATTCCTTCAAAAAGTAATCAGACAGCTTAACGTTTTTATTCATTTTAAAAAGAATAAAATATGCAGTCCACCTGTGATGAACTGATTTGATTGGACATAAAACAATCAAAGGCTCCCAGAAGTCACACTGCATGTGAGAACTAAAACCAAGACATGAGGTCCATGAAGTCTCTGTTGACCTAACAAAGCTGACCATGTTTGGCTGGACAATCAGTTGGTTGACCAGCCAAACTGCAAAGGGTCTTTATCGGGGATGTTCCCAGGAACTGCAGCTAAGTGGTCAAAAGATCTGTGAAGAGATGAGAGAACCAGCCAGTAGGACAACTAACTCAGAAGCAGTGCACAGAGAAGAAGGGAAGAAGTCTTGATTAAAAAGTAAATGAAAGCACTCTTGGAAACTGTCAAATGGCATTTAAAAGACTGAGAATAAAGATGAAATACCCCGTTGCACAATGCTACCATGCAATACCATGGTTCACAGCAGCATCGTGCAATGACAAGCAGACTGCTCTGGGTCAAGGAAAGGATGAAAGCCAGATATCTCAATCAAAACTCTTAAAAAAAATCTCTTTTACGACAAAAAAAAGCTGCTGCCTTTTTTCTAAGTGGGTCTATATTATACACCACCTGACCATGTACATTAAAGAACTCCGTAGTAATCTGTTCCAGATTAATCCCAAATAAAATTGGGCTTCTGATCTAATATTCACCTGTGTATCCCGCATTTCAGATTTATGTATTCTTCTGAATACGAAGCAGAGCCAAGCAGTAGCAAAGGTTAAACTCAGGTTATATGAATTGATACATCTATTAAGTGTCTGCATGCAAAGATAAATTATTCTCTCGCTCATGATGGTCCAAATTAATTATCACTAAAGGGCAACGTGTGATGAGAATTTCTCGATAAATGGAAATACTTTCCCTCTAGAGGGCAGTTCTTCTGAGTTTATCATTAGTTTCAAACTATTTCTGCCAAGTTCAGTTTTCTTTTTCAGCTCAGCTGGATTTCCACTAAAGCTACAGAAAATAATCCACTGAGTGCCACTGCCAGCTCTATATTACAAAACACAACATGACAGATCTATTTCAGCGGAATTCCTATATCAGTTAACAATAACACAGATGTACTGGGTCTTACTGAGACAGAACAGACTATATACCAAGTCTGTATTAAAGACTACCCTCAGTGAGGTCTCTTGTCTGGCCCCAGGCTTTGATATAAAACTGTCAGATGATGACACTGAGTGCAACCACTTTTCCCTCCTTTACAAACATACCAATTGTGTGTGTGTGTTTGTGGTATTTCTAATTTGCCATGCTGGAACAGGGAGTGCATGTATGAGAGAGAACATCATCTTTTTTGCAGTGGGCTAACATGAGCAGCATCCAAAGACTCAAATCAGGTTAGCACTGACACCACAGCGAAGCTCAGTGCGAGCAGTGCTCTGAAGTCAAGTGGATTTCACAAATATGGGAAGCAGCACCTTTGCGTTGACTCAACCAGTGAGGAAACCTTTCATTTGATGCATCTTTGCTTCAGCTAGATGCCTCATTACTGGTAAGCCCCCACCCTGGATAGGTAAAAAAAAAGAAGAAGAGGGAAAGCTACGCTGTTCACACTCTCTCATCAGCACGGTATACACCCCCCCCCCCGACAGCACAATCTCCATTGAGAGATGAGCTCTTGTACAGAACATGACCCGCGGTTTCATCTCCTGTGGAAGTGTTTAGGATGTAGGAGGATTCTTGCTGAGCTAACTGGCTTACATTTTCTTTGAACTCATAGCGATGTAGGTGGTTATGTCAGTGTCATCACATCCTGAGCAAAGGCATATGCTGTATATTCTTTGGAGTACTTTTTTTTTTTAAAGGAATACCTTTGGCAGACACTTGTGAAATTTAAAAAGATCTGAGAAGAGAAAGATGTGAGTCTGGTGAACAGTGAAGAACAGCTCCTGGAAATTTTTCAATTATGCAGTGAGGATGGTAGAGAGGTGGATTGAGGTGCTGTACCACCCTCCTTGCTAATGAAAAGATGACTCAGTTGCTTCTCAGAAGGTCAGGCTTAACACGCGCTTGGTTGGTGTGCTTTGCTCGAGACTTAATCCTATAAACAAATGCGACACGGCCTCCAAAGGCAAACTTTGATGTGCGCTTCAGTAATTAAGTGTGACCTTGTCTCAGGTATCCACCCGCTAGCTAACTATGGAGGAGTTTCTTTGAGCCTGAGCCACTGTTCACATCAGTGCGTAGGCATGACTCTTTATCGACTGATTCTGGCCTTCAGCGATACCGTGCCACAGCCTGACTGTGACTCACGTCAACGGCACCGTGCCAAACAGTACCGAAATCTTCAAATTTCAAGATGGAGCTTTGCCTCACCGGCTGGTTTTGTAAGCCACAGCTTTAAGTGCAAAAAAGAAAAAGAAGAAGAAGCTCTCAATTATTTAAAATGCCAAAATTCCCCCAGATAACAGAAAATATGAAATGCATATATTATTTGGGCAATTTGTCATAAGCATTTACTCCTCTGGGAAGAAAATATCACAAACCAACATTCCTGAGCTTGGGGCAAATGTTTCTCACGGACGGAGAGGCAGAATACCAAATGAAGCGCCGCCATGGAGGATCTGAGCTGGGTTTCAAGTCCTTGACATTTAGCCCATTCATCATAACACGCCACAGTCTGGGCATGGGCCTCACCACAGACGGGGAGGGCAGGAGAAGAGAGGGTCTGGCTGGCGATCAATTTGAGCAAATTGGAAATGTCACGGCCTACTCAACCTCAGCGGGGAGCCGGAGGAGCTCTCATCTCCCTGCTGAGTCGCCCTCCAACACCTCTACCCTTATATTCTCTCCACCTCCCTCGCCTCCTCCTCTCCAGATGTTTGGTCTGGCCCACCTGCCTAGACACTTCCACTCTAGCTCTCCCCTGAGGACACCCGGAATGGAGCCTAAATTTCAGAGCATATGCAAGCCATGTTATCAAGTCCAGTGTAATACTTAATGACTAACCTCTCTCAGCATGTTTTGCTTAATTAAAGATATTGTTCTCCATGTTTTAGAATTAGCATTTTACAGGCACGGTGCTCATGTTTACGCTTTGTTATTATCTGCATTTCCTATTTCTGCCTTTCGTCCTGCTATCTCGGCTACCTGTTGCTAATTTATTTTCATGTAAGTCCATTACAGAAATTCCAATTGTTAGCTCCAAACACAAAATGGAAATAAGTTAATGGGATGGATATGCTCTTTAGTCAAAGCTGGATTTGTGGATGTAGATAAAAACTTTAGACTATACAAATAAATTATTTAGTCAGTATGTATAAACTAACCATGAACTAAATCACTCATATAAAGTGTCTCACAATATAATGTAAGTAAAAAGAGAATGCAATGATTTGCAAATCTAATAAACCCACATCTTTAACAAATCAGATGTTTGAACTGAGAAAATGTGATATTTTAAGAAAAATAATAACTCATTTTGGCAGGTTTTCATTGAAAAAGACATTGCAGCATATGCTACTCTAAAACCAGTGTATATTTTTGGGCATGGTGGCTTTCCAGATGTGCAACTGGCTTTTCCATAGTCCGTAATGCACCCACATACCATCTGAGATAGAGAGTTCTGAACCGTTAACAGTCCCTTTACTCTTTAGTCCAGAGCATGTGGTGTCCATGTTCTCCAAAAAGAATTTGTCTGACCACAGTATGGCCTTGGTCCATTTAAAAAGAGATTTAAAATTGTGTTTCTGGATCATGTCATCATTCGGCTTCTTCTTGACCTGCATTTGTAGACGGCAAGGTGAGCTGTGCTCACAGAAAATGATTTGTGGAAGTGTTCCAGAGAGAGCCCAGAGATCAGGGGCATCCAGTGTTGACTTTTAACTGTGTCACTTACACGCAAAATTGCTGAGTGCAGGTGAATCTTTTCTGATATGATGTACTGTGTATGAGATATTTAAAATCTTTGCTATTTTATGTTGAGGAACATTATTCTGAAAGAAACTTTCTGCCCCTCTTTACTTCTGAGAAACGATGCCTCTCTTAGATGCACTTTTTAAAACACTTTTACA